TATTTAACCTGAAATCAGTATGGGTAAGCCAACAAAAGTAATTTTTTTTGAGGAAGTCAGATCAGGTAGAAGTATAAAAGTAGAATAAACTAACAGATAAACTGTTATTTCTGCAGCAAATGAAACTGCAAAATATTACATTTTTAATTTAATAAATATTTATTTTATTTTAATTGCAATTAAAATGAAAAATAAAATATCTATAGTATTATTTCAATATACAATTAATACAAATATTAAATTGAAAAAAAATTCTTATAAATAATTAAATTTCCTAAAAAATAAATATTCATAGTTAATTTTTCATTTTCTGTAATTTTTTTGTACTTTTTATAGTCTAGAAACCACTCTGTGTGAGTACAGTTTCCAAACTGAAATTTTATAAAGTTTTAAAAACTATCGATAGCAAACGATAGCAAACTATCAAGTTTGTTCATCTGAATTAGGGGTCATTCACACAGAATTTGTTCTTGTGTCCTACAATATTTTGGAATTGTTGGTTTTAGTGGGTGTGTTGCACTGAAAAGAATGACAAAGACTTCATCACAATCACACTGCGGCATGTTTTTGTGGTATAGGCAAATATGTCAGATCATATAATGATGAAACGCCCGATTTACACTCTTTGTAGATAGATTAACTCTGGTTAAACAGGAATGCATGTTTTTGCACAAAAAAGGGCACAACTGTTTAGTAAATTTCCTCCAAACTCCTATCGTTGTTCTGTGGAGCCACTATTTCCATATTTTTCCACAAAAGCGAGACAAGACTTTGTTGAAGTGTTTAGCATAAGCAGGCTTTTAGCATTAAAGTGCATACAGAACATTAGAAGTCTTCTGGCAGAACACAGAACAGCATTTACTAATTCTTAAATAGTTCTTATACATTCACAAATTAATCTCACAGGGCAATTTAAGTGAGTAAAAAAGTTCTGTGCTATAAAATATTTTGTCAAATCACCTTAAATGTGACCCTGGAGCACAAAAGCAGTCTTAAGTCGCTGGGGTATATTTCCTTTTAGCATTAAAGTGCATACAGAACATTAGAAGTCTTCTGGCAGAACACAGAACAGCATTTACTAATTCTTAAATAGTTCTTATACATTCACAAATTAATCTCACAGGGAAATTTAAGTAAAAAAGTTCTGTGCTATAAAATATTTTGTCAAATCACCTTAAATGTGACCCTGGAGCACAAAAGCAGTCTTAAGTCGCTGGGGTATATTTGTAGCAATAGCCAACAATACATTGTATGGGTCAAAATTATAGATTTTTCTTTTATGCCAAAAATCATTAGGATATTAAGTAAAGATCATGTTCCATGAAGTTATTTTGTAACTTTCTTACTGTAAGTATATCAAAACTTAATTTTTGATTAGTGATATGCATTGCTAAGAACAACTAAGGACAACTTTAAAGGCGATTTTCCCAATATTTTGATTTTTTTTTGCACCCTCAGATTCCAAATTTTAGATAAAATAGTTGTATCTCGGCCAAATATTGTTATATCCTAACAAATCATAGATCAATGGAAAGCTTATTTATTCAGCTTTCAGATGATGTATAAATCTCAATTTCGAAAAATTGACACTTATGACTGGTTTTGTGGTCCAGGGTCACAGATATGCATTTAATGTGCTAACATCTAAATTAACTGGTTTTATTCAAGTCGATTATATGATGGAACCAACTTCAAAACAGTAGGGAGCACCAACAAAAATTATTTTTTGAAGTCAGATCAGAAGTATAAAAGTAAAGATAATTTGTATCATTTCGACAGCATTTGTATCACCAAATGAAATCACAAAATATTTATTTACATTTTTAATTTAGTAAATATTAGTTTTATTTTGAATAACCTTACAATTAATACAAAAAAAAATTAAATTCTTCAAAATTATGGGAATATTTGTAGCTAATTTTCCCTTTTCTAGAATTTTTCTTTTTAACTTTTCATTATCTAGAAACCTCTGTGTGTGCACAATTTCAAAAAATTATTTGTTAAAAATTCTTATCCGGTAATCACAATTTAATGAAAAAATAAGGAAAATGCATGGAAATTCATTGGTTGATTTTGCTACCAGGTTTTTCCATCTGTCCATTACCTAAACACACATAAACACCACTTTCTATTCAGTAAATCTGACTGAAATTGAGTGCGGTGTAAAACAGGCCAAATGCTTCACTTTAATAAGCTGCACATTCAATTTTACATTCAGGCTATTGTCAGTTTGATATATTTGCATTGGGACATCTTAGCAAATGGCTGAAATCATTTTGTGATCATATCTTCTCATTGACAGGACGTGATTTTCCTCGTGTTCAGAGAATTTTCCGAACACTTTCTCCTCTGCATGCTCATTAGGGTATACTGAACATGTAGATTAAATTACATTTGCGCAGAGTTGCCACAGAATATTCCACACCTCATTTGATCCATTTTTCTTGCCGGTGTTGTTTTGGAAGTATTAATGATACCTGCTGGTGCTGGAGACGTTTATGTACTGCTCAGGATGTGGGAAATGCTTAGTGCAGCATATTCTAGACGATCCCCTGCGTGTGTGCTGTATGAGCTTCAGCGCTGTGGAAGATGAGCTGATGTGTTTGACTCCTGCTGGCTCTGACTGTGACCACGAGGAGGGGTCTAAAAGATAGAAAGACAGTAAAGAAATGTATATAACGTTACTAAATGTTTCTATTTCAAGTAAATGCAGTTCTTTTGAACGTTCTATTCATAAAAGAGCCTTGAAACAAAATGTATCAGTTTGCACAAAAATATACGAAGCAGCACAACTGTTTTCAACATTGATAATAATCAGAAATGTTTCTCGGGCAGCAAATCAGCATATTAGAATGATTTCTGAAGGATCATGTGACACTGAAGACTGGCGTAATGATGCTGAAAATACAGCTTTGATCACAGGAATAAAATATATGTGACTATTAATTCAAATAGAAAACAGCTATTTTAAATTGTAATAATATTTCCCAATAATACAGTTTTTACTGTATTTTTAATCAAATATATGCAGCCTTGCTGAGCAAAAGAGACTTCTTTCATTAAAAATGATTTATAAACGACTCGGGTTATGCATGTAACCATGGTTCGGTTCATAAAGAATATGTTCTTGTACACCGTTTGCAATATTTTTTGAGTTGTTGGTTTATGTATACATGCAGACTGACGTTTTTACACATTGTGTTCACGTCTCTGCCAGTGCCATAAACAGTTTTCAAGACATAATGTCAAGTTCAAGCATTCAGCGTCTCCATCAGCATCCAGGACCGATGATATCTGTATATTATGTCAGTCACAATCTTTCAAACAAACACCCAGACATCTGAATAATCCGTCAGTGCAGCAGATATGAGGAGCCTGAGCATTTTTGTATCTTTTCATTACTAAAAAGGCTTTGGGAGTGAAATCAATGAGCAGGAGATACAGATGGATTGGACTAAAAAAAGAAAAAAGATAAGAGGAGAACGTTTGCGTCCTTGTGGACAGATTCATTGTGCTGTATAGTGCCTGTCACAGGCTGCTAAATCCTGCAGAATAAGGGCTGCTGAACAGGGCTAAGCCTGCAAAGAGAAGCACAGGCTGTGACCTCTGACCTCCGGGTCTGATTCAGCGCATTTATCCATGATCACACCCTCCAGCTCAGGACAGGTGCCTCTGGCTCTCTCTCTTTTTTTACTGATGCTGTCTCTTGGATGTTGTCGGCGCTGGAGTGGGTTTTTCAGTAATGCAGCATCTATATCAGACAGCAGATGAAAGCTCTTCACTCCTTCAGGTTCAGCTCCTAAATCTCACCTTCTCCTGCTGTATAGTGCAAATTAGTTTGTTATGTTCAGTCCATCTGCTTTGAAGAAGGAGTTCACAAAAAGTGTATTTGGAGGGGTCTAATTATGTTCTTTTGGGTTTTATCCTGCAACTATAATTTCTACTGATTATAAAGGGAACATTTTGCAATAATCCACACACACACACACACACACACACACAGATCAGTAATTTTAAAACTTTCTGTGAGACGGAATTTCACAAACAGCGTGAGTGATTGGGATTGAGTGGTACTGCGTCTTCTCCCACTCTCTCAAAATGCACAAATGGCCTCAACATCCATAATATCCACGTTGAGTTCGCTCCGCGAGTGAGCTGCACGCTGCAATACTAGACTAGCGCGTGTTTCGGACAGTTGACGGAATTGTCACTTGCACATACTTTTAAGTCATGCCATTTTAAACATTCAAGCTGTTTTAACTCATAGAATGCACTCTCAGCCAAAGCGCACACAGCCGCCTCTCAAACAGCTTGCGACTCTCGAGTGTCAGATTGAGTTATTACATATTTGATTAAAATAATTTCCTTATTGTCCGGCTATTCCATTTTATTTATCCAGGTTCATGCATTTTTATATGTAGCCTAAGTAATGTTGTTTAATGACTTGTTTGCATTATTTAGGTATTATATTATTTTATTTTATTTTATTTACATTTTTTTAAGGCAATAGATTTTTTGGTAACACTTTACAAAGCAACAATTTTTAAATTCTCATTTGTTAATGCATTAATTAACATGAACAGAGAGCAATTATTGTTATTATTATTATTATTATTATTATTAAGTTAAAAGTGAATCTAATGTTCTTTAGCATTGCTGGTGGCATATCATGAACCCTACCATCACTGCAAACCGAACCGAACCGAACCGTGGCTCCAAAACCGTGATATGAACCGAACCGTGGCAGTGGTCTCCGTGATCGTTACACCTCTATTACAAGGGAAGATTTTCAGTGAATAACAGCTTAAATTTGGCTCTCATCCTCTTGATTTGGCAGTTTAAAATATCCAGTCATCTTCTGTTTCCTTCGCAGCTCTCAGTATGATCGACTGTGACATGTATCTTCATTATCAAGTTAGATGTGTTCCAGAGAGCAGGCGAGGAGTGAATCAGAGTTTGTGCTTGTGAAAACTAAACATGTCTTCTTGTTCCTCTCGTAGGTTCAGACTTCCAGTGTAACACTCACATCATCCCAGTGAAGAACGAGGAAGGAGTTGTGATGATGTTCATCTTGAACTTCGATCATGTTCTAGACGAGGAGAACAGCGACTCTTTGGAGAGACTGAACCTCACGCCGCCTGCCAAATCTGAAATCAGTGAGTGCAAATTGAGTTTATTATTATTATTTTTATGCATATATGTATTTTTATTATTTTTTGGTTTCTTACACAGATTTTTCCCTACTAGCTGCTCTTTCTGCAAATATTTATGCCATCTGTTTCCTCAGTAGACATGTTTAAAAATCATGATCCAAACCAACCAGCCCTAAAACTTTGATATGAGGAAAAAAATAAATAAGATGAGTATAAGATCTATTATGAGTGAATGAACTTTACCTATAATGCATTGTGGATGTTACAAAAAAAATTAAAAAAAAATATATATATATATATATAATGCATATACAATATAATGATCAAAAATATAGTGAAAATGGTAATATTGTGAAATAATAATGTAATAAAATACTGAATAAAATTAATAATTAAAATATAAAATCTTACTGAGCCCAAACTTTGTTTGTAAAGCACTACACTGTTTTGTCTAAATTAACTTTAAATATTTTGAGATTTCTTAAATATTACATTTAAGGGGCTTATTAATTTTTTAGAATTAAAACAATTACAGTGTTGGTGTTGAAATGATAATAAATTATAGCTGATTATAAAACACTTCACTATTTTATCTATATACATTTTAAAAACTAATGTCAGCTGTTTTAATTGCTATAGATGAATTTGCTAAAATTCAACGTGTATATATATATATAATTATTATTATAACAAAAAACAATCATCTATTCTGAGTTTAAATTCCAGAACACAGTTGTGGTTGTGTTAGTTAATGCATCAGCAACAAAACTGAAGCTTTCAACAACCACTATTATTACTTACTTAATATTATAACATTATTATTATGTGTGTAAATAATGAGAAATAATTTCTCTGATGATCATTTTGTAACTTACATTAGAGCTGCTTCCTAGTGACTCCTTCACAACCCCACCTCTGCTGTGCTAAACCAGCCGTTCTAATCAGTCGTGTTCAACAGGAAGTGCTTTAACTGGCCAGCGCAGTGAGGCGTTCCTCAACAGAGCGTGCTAATTAGACAGGAGCTTCTCGCTGAGACTGTTCAGATTCAGGTGGGACGCTGGTATCTTCTGCTCTTGGCTCAGATGAGGGATGCTTTCAGAACTGGCTTCACATCAAGGCTTTAACACGTTCATCAGCAGGTGCAGATTTCGTTTTACTGGCCAGCACAACAAACCAATCTTCTTCTTTTTGGCACCTTTGGTGATCTAATTGACACATAAAGTGACCAATCACATTTAGATGTGTTTTTGCATTATTTATTTTTTTGCATATATGTATTGTTTTATTTATAAACATTTATTCTTTCATTGGTTTTATATATACTGTATATGGTTTTATATATATATATATATATATATATATATATATATATATATATATATATACAGCACCCCATATAGACAAAATCCAGGTGTGAACAACTTGTTGCATCTTTCCCAAAAAGACTCATGGCTGTATTCGATCAAAAGGGTGCTTCTACTAAATACTGAGCAAAGGGTCTGAATACTTAGGACCATGTGATATTTCAGTTTTTCTTTTTTAATAAATCTGCAAAAATGTCAACAATTCTGTGTTTTTCTGTCAATATGGGGTGCTGTGTGTACATTAATGAGGAAAAAATTAACTTAAATGATTGTAGCAAATGGCTGCAATATAACAAAGAGTGAAAAATTTAAGGGGGTCTGAATACTTTCCGTACCCACTGTATATATATATATATATATATTGTGGCGGGACGATCAAACGACAGACACAGTGGGTGAGGCGTCAGGCCTCAGAGGCCTTTTATTAACAGAAAAGAAACAAAGTGTCCAGAAAAAAGGGAATCAAGTGTCCAAAATAAACAGGGGATCTGGTGTCCTCGTCGTGCCATGCGGGGTTCGTGAAGGGAAGGGCAGTGGTCAGGAAGGAAGGGTCCAGGTAAGGGGCGGAGTCTGGCAGCTGCACGTGCTCTGGCGGCACGGGAGTCCCTCTACGCACCCTTCTTGGACCCACGAGGGTGCGTAGAGGGACTCCCGTGCCACCAGAGTTGTGAGCTGCCGGACCCGCGGTCCGGACAAGAACCTTACCCGTTGCACGGCCGTTGGGCCAGGATGCCAGGATGCCGGGCCGTCTAGTCCCTTTGCACGCCGTGGGCAACAAGAAGGATGCAGCCGCTGGAAGAAGCCGCCGCCCCTCGCGCCCCGGACTTACCGGGACCCTTCCTTCCTGACCACTGCCCTTCCCTTCACGAACCCCGCAGCACGACGAGGACACCAGATCCCCTGTTTATTTTGGACACTTGATTCGCTTTTTTCTGGACACTGTTTATTTTCTGTTAATAAAAGCCTCTCTGAGGCCTGACGCCACACCCACTGTGTCTGTCGTTTGGTCATCCCACCACAATATATATATATATATATATATATACTTACACACACACACACACATAAAACCAATGAAAGAGCAAATGTTTATAAATAAAACAATACATAATTTTACATTTAAATGTAAAAATATGGGAAATAAGCATGCACAATTAAATGCAGATCAATAAAAAAACTAAATTCTCTAATATTGGCCAATAACTAACAAAACTTTGTGGTTTGTGTATAATATTCATCAGACACACAGTGAACTGCTGTGACTAATATTAACCGGGTCACATAAAGAAAGAGCCTCAGTGAGGATGAGAACGGAAGCGGATGATATTAATGCATTTATCATCTCCATCATCTCCATAACTTCCTGTATCTGCGGGCCGGTTTGCTCTGACAGGGCAGCGGGCTGCAGGGTGGACGATCGTGGCAGGATGACGCATCTGTGAGTGTCGTGTGCTCGTTTACAGCTCTATAGCTGCTCGGGCCTCAGGTCCGCCTCAGCGTCTCTACATCCTCACTTAGCAAACACACCGCTTTAGGTGAAGGTTATTTATAGTGGAGAATGCTGCAGAGTGTGTGTGTGTGTGTGTGTGTGTGTTTTCTGCCTCTGGGTGTCATGGAGAGTCTGTGTCAACAAGGACTCACCGCTGAACCCTGCTTGTATGTGTTACAATGAGACCCAAACCTAGTAAGGACTTAAATACACATACTCATATTGAACGTTTCTGATTATGATGTACCACACAATTTTGTCTAAATAAATAAAAAAACACTTAAAACTAAAGCCAGTTGTTTTAAATGCTACAAATGAATTTAGGCATCACAAAATCTTGATATAAAGCATGAATTTTTGCTAAATATTATACATAAGTGTTATTACAGTTTTTACTTGTCTTTTTAAAAATTAATTGTTTTCATTGAATTGAAAATAAATTATAGCTGATAAAATACTACTCTATTTTTTTATAAATAAATTAAACATATGCTACAAATAAATGTAGGCATCATGATATGGATATTTCAAAAACCACATGGATCTGAAAATTTTGAGATCACATTTCAGGACACACACACATTATACATACAGTATATATATATATATATATATATATATATATATATATATATATACTTTTTTTTGTGTTACACAAAAGAAAGAAAGTAGGGACGACATAAGAAAATGTCAGACTTTTTGGTAAATTATTCCTTTAATATAACCTTTATATATAAGTGGGAATGTACAAATTCATGTCCTCATTTTAGGTATTGTCCATAGAATAATTAATTAATTATAAATTAAATTAGAATAGTCCATGTTCTTAACAAACCATATGGATGAACTGAGGCAGTGGACCAACTGACATTCATGGCCTATATATATATATATATATATATAATAAGAATGAGAAGAATGTGTTGTCTAAAAAAATTACTATGGTCATTTACTTTTATGGTGAGATGCCTGCATTGATCTTTGAATCTGTTTGCACTAAGATTATGCATCTTGAGTAATAATCAAACTGATATCCCACATAGCAAGTGCAACCAAGAGGCATTGCAAATCAACCCACTCAAAGTGGCATATCAAGACACATTACAGTATGTGCATTGAAACCTGAGTGAAATAAAAGGCCGAATGATTGGAGGAAAGATGATTCCTCCATTACATTGTGTAAAGTGGCTGACAAAATTACTGTAAAGGACCAGTTCACTTACAAATGAATGTTTTCATGTCATCATTTACTCACCCTCATGTGGTTCTGCCATTGTGTTATCTTCCTCCTGTGAAATGCAAAATGAGATGTTAGACAGAATGTCTGAGCTGCTCAGACAATGAAAAGTGGAGGATTTCTGTCAAAACAACAACAACAACAACATCATGACAGTGCACTATATTCCAAGTGATGTGTAATAGCTTTGTATACAGATGTAGAACTTTGATTATATGAACTCTGAAAAATTATTAAATGGATTTTTAAAAAGCATCAGTAGGACAACACTAACATTAAAGGAATAGGTCACCCAAAAATGAAAATTGTCTGAATATTACTCACTCTCAGGTCATCCAAGATGAGTTTGTTTCTTCATGGGAACAGATTTGGAGAAATTCAGCATTGCATCGCTTGCTCAGCAATGGATCCTCTGCGGTGAATGGGTGCCGTCAGAATGAGAGTCCAAACAGCTGATAAAAACATCACAATAATCCACAAGTAATCCACACCACTCCAGTCCATCAGTTAATGTCGTGTGAAGTGAAACGCTGCATGTTTGTAAGAAACAAATCCATCATAAAGATGTTTTAACTTCACTTCTGGCTAAAATATGAGTCTTCTATCCATAATAACACTTCCTCCAGTGAAAAAGTCCATCCCCTGTTGTCCTCTCATATCAAAATCCACACACATATTTGTTTAGAATTGTTTTAGACTGTTTTTGCTTGTAAATGTGTGCATATTTGTCTTCTGATTCAGAAAAGACAACTTTTTCACTGAAGAAAGCAATATTATGAATAGTGGACTTTACATACTTTACATTAGCAACAATTTGAAGTTAACAACATCTTGAAGATGACTTTGTTTCATACAAACATGCAGCTTTTGGCATCACAAGATGTTAACTGATGGACTGGAGTGCTGTGGATTA